AAGATGGTTTATTAGATGATGAGCTTTCGTGGGCCAGACCCACTTCCTCAGATCAAATAGTGGAAGAAAATAGTCACAACCATATATACCAAAGGATACAATTTAAAAAAATGAACACATATGAAAAGGACAAATCACATTTCAGAACAGAAGAGGGATGCAGGGGGTAGGGAATGAAGGTGAATGCCTGTGAGTTAATGATATTAGAGGTGGGGAACAGACATTCACCTCTCCATCCCCCCCATCCTCCTTCTGTTCTGAAACCTGATTTGTCCCCTTCATATGTGCTCACCCCTTCAAACTGTATCCTTTGGCATACATGGGTGCGACCATCCTCTTCCACCACCTGATCTGAGGAAGTGGGTCTGGCCCACGAAAGCTCATCATCTAATAAACCATCTTGTTAGTCTTTAAAGTGCTACACAGTCCTGTATTTTGCTTCAGCTACACCAGACTAACACGGCTACATTTCTATTACTATTCTAAGTGTTTGCTTAGATTCTGTCATGATGAGCCCTGTGAGCAGGGTTTCCTAGAGCGGCGGGCCATGATGCCCAGGTCCCTGGCCTGAGTCCACACAGTTCAATTAGAACCTTCTTCAGTGTTTGAGGGGTTCAAGCTTTTCCATCAAGGGGCCAAAACATCACAGCTGTGAACATCAAATTTCATCTGCCGTCATGCTGCCGATTAACCTACCTCAGTTAGCTCCTCTGAATTCTCATGAGGACCTGAATTTGATCTAAATAATCTAGTGCCATCTCTAAAAGTTTCCAGTTCATTATTCACCTTCTGTTTAGATTGGTAATAGTGATAAAGTATTTACTGTCTATTTGTACAAAAGCGTATCCTCCCTTTGCCCCCGCACATACTATTCTTCCGTCTCTTCACAGGTATCTCTTGCATTTCTAAGCTCTGTCCTTTCATCATCCACCTCATGGCAGCTTTCAACCTCACCCACTCTGACACATCAACATTCATCCTAACAGGCATCCCTGGTCTGGAAGATGCCCATGTCTGGATTTCCCTCCCATTCGCTACTTGCTACATTGTTGGCCTATTGGGAAATTTCATGGTTCTGTTTGTAGTAGGCAAAGAACAGACCCTGCACCAGCCGATGTACCTGCTGCTCTGCCTGCTGGCGCTCACCGACATCACTATGTCTACCTCCGTCGTGCCAAAGGCCCTGGGTATATTTTGGTTCAATTTGGAAGTCATCACAGTGAGTGGCTGCCTCACCCAGCTTACCTTCCTTGGCACGGTTTCTGCAATGCAATCAGCCATCCTTGTGACAATGGCCTTTGATCGCTACATGGCCATATGTAACCCTCTGAGATACACCACCATCCTAAGCAATGAACGGATAGCTGTGCTAGGGCTGGTCAGTTTCATCAGAGGGATTGTCTATGCACTGCCTCTGCCCCTGATGCTGAGCCGGCTGCCGTTCTGTGCCAACCGCATCATCCCTCACACGTATTGTGAAGGTATCGCTGTGGCAAAGATTTCATGTGGGGACCTCACATTCTACAGGCTCTATGGCTTGGTGATGGGCCTTGTACTTTCTGGATTAGACATGACGCTCATCGCCCTGTCCTACAGTTTGATCATCAAGGCCCTCCTCAGAATCTCCTCCAAGAAAGCCCATCGGAAAGCACTCAACACTTGCACAGCCCACGTCTGTGTGATTCTGATGTCTTATACCCCCTACCTCTTCTCCAACCTGACACACCGGTTTGGTCAAGGCATTGCTCCTTACATTCACATAATCTTGGCCAACATCTATGTCCTTGTCCCCCCCATGCTCAATCCCATCATTTATGGGGTCAAAACCCAAGACCTCCGTGACAAAATGAAGAAAAACATCTGCAGAATGTGATGCCAATGGGCCTCTGGATTTGGAGTGAGTCCCAAAAAGGGGAACAGTTTCCTCCTCATTGCTCCAGATTGCTCTGTCCCAGTTTGACTGAGCTCTGCATTGTGGGGGTTCACAGTATCCGGAAGTAGGAAACCCTTCTACTGGGATCAGCCCATTGTGACATAAATGGTCTGATATCTCACTTCTGCCATTGTTTTGTGGAACCGTGGACAGCTGGAAAAGGAGAGGAGTGTTTAGCCTGTGGTTCCCTGCCCTCAGCCTGAAGGCAAACATATTGCTCTGTTTAACAGTGAAATTATTTCACACATGGATGCCACAGGGGACTAAGGCTTTTTTAAGGTTGGTCATTTTCCCTTTCAAGGCTGTCACTACATTGATGCAACTTTGGAGCTAACAGAGTTTTCTCAGATGAAACTGGTAAAAGAAAACTGTAGAGCAAGAGGCTAGTGGAACTCTGGGAACGTCTTTTTCTCAGGGGATATACAAGACAACTCAAAATCTGTTCTGAACCATTTGCACTAAGGGAAGAAACATTTGCAACGGTACTGCTGATCTGTTTGTACAGTAGCAGAAGAACCCTACTTCTGACAAACACAGCAAGGAAGAAATGTTGCCTTTTGGAGACAACAAACTTACTCAGAACCAATTTGATACACTCAGTAATGTCAGTGAACACATTTTAAACAAAATAGCACAATCATATTATTGTTCTATCTACATTTCAGGCTTCATTTTGATTTCTTTATGGTGTGAATCACCATTTGGTTCGCCTCTTCTGCCAAGCATCAGTCATGTTACGTGTACCAGCCATGGGGAATTTTTCATTTTCTTGCTAGCATGGATAAGATCCTGCTAGGACTTGTCCCATTTAATTAAAAATAAATCTACACTAGGTAAGCTCTCATTGGGTGCCTGATCTACATATCAATGTGTTATTTTTAAAATGTTTGTTTCACTCACTAGGCCAGTGGTATCCAACCTTTTTACACCCAAGATCACTTTTTAAATGTCAGGGCAAGCCAAAATCTACCCCATCCCTTCCCCAAGACCCCACCTCTTTCCTGAGGCCCCGCCCTCTCCGTTCCCCTCCTTTCCATCAGTTCCTGTCCCCAGCCCTTACTCACTCTCACTGCATTGAGGTAGGAGGTGTGGGCTCTGGGGTGGGAATGAGCAATTTGGGTGTGGGAAGGGTGAGAGGTGCAAGCTCTGGGAGGGAATTTGGGTGCAGGAGGAGGCGGAGAAGGGGATGCTGGTTCATGGTGGTGGGTCCAGGCTGGAGAGTGTTGGGGTGAGGTGAAAGGTTGGGGTGCTGAGCAAGGTGCAGGATTGTGGATGTGGGGGTTCTGGAGTTTGGGATGGAGCATGTGAGGGGCTCAGGACATGGGGTTCAGGTGTATGATGGATGCAGGAGTGTTATGATGGTACAGTCAGATGTGGGCTTGGCTCCAGCTGGGGGCTATTTGGCCAGGCTTCATTTTTAAATAAAGTATGTCCATTATAAAATGTTTCAGAAGTTTGGAGATGTGAGGGGCTCAGGACATGGGGTTCAGGTGTATGATGGATGCAGGAGTGTTATGATGGTACAGTCAGATGTGGGCTTGGCTCCAGCTGGGGGCTATTTGGCCAGGCTTCATTTTTAAATAAAGTATGTCCATTATAAAATGTTTCAGAATTGTCTTTATTAATGGGAGGGGTGGGGAACTTGTTTTGGGTCAGGAGCCACTGACCCACAGAAAAATCAGTTAGGACCACACAAGTGAGATGCAAAAAAACCCCCAACCCCTCCAACCTCCCCCCAGGCCTCACTGATGCGATCCCATCTGAGACACCTCTCTCTCCGGGCACTCCAGCCCCATGTGGGGGGAGGGTAGGTAGGACTGAAGTTCAGGGTCTCATGTCAGTTTAACTCCTCTGGGGTTCCAGGGTTAGTGGATTTTGTGGGCCCCTCTACAATCTGGATTGGGGCCGAAGAGGAGGGATCCAGTGTGCGGAACAGGGCTGCTAGTGAGTGGGATAGGGACGGGGGTCAGAATCTATGTGGAAAATAGGGTACAGGAGCAAGCTGGTGGTAAATGTCTGACCAGGAGGGAGGGGCCAGGAACAGGGTGCTGGTGAGTGTCTGGCCTGGGGCAGGGCCTGGAGTCTGGTGGGTGTAGGGGTGGGGTGCTGGATGGGGTCTGGCCAGGGGGCAGGACTGGGGTGCTTGTTCGGGGTCTGTCCAGGTTCTGGTCAGGGGGTAGGGTGCTAGTGTGGGTACAGGCATGGTCAGTGTGCTTGGAACACATATGAAAAGGACAAATCACATTTCAGAACAGAAGGAGGAGGGAGGGGTGGGGAGGTGAATGTCTGTGGGCTGAGTCTAAACAAAGGATCTAGTTATCTTACTAGTTATCTTAATATCATTAGCCCACAGACATTCACCTCTCCATCCCCCCCATCCCCCTTCTGTTCTGAAACCTGATTTGTCCCCTTCATATGTGCTCACCCCTTCAAACTGTATCCTTTGGCATACATGGTTGCGACCATCCTCTTCCACCACCTGATCTGAGGAAGTGGGTCTGGCCCACGAAAGCTCATCATCTAATAAACCATCTTGTTAGTCTTTAAAGTGCTACACAGTCCTGTATTTTGCTTCAGCTACACCAGACTAACACGGCTACATTTCTATTACTATTCTAAGTGTTTGCTTAGATTCTGTCATGATGAGCCCTGTGAGCAGGGTTTCCTAGAGCGGCGGGCCATGATGCCCAGGTCCCTGGCCTGAGTCCACACAGTTCAATTAGAACCTTCTTCAGTGTTTGAGGGGTTCAAGCTTTTCCATCAAGGGGCCAAAACATCACAGCTGTGAACATCAAATTTCATCTGCCGTCATGCTGCCGATTAACCTACCTCAGTTAGCTCCTCTGAATTCTCATGAGGACCTGAATTTGATCTAAATAATCTAGTGCCATCTCTAAAAGTTTCCAGTTCATTATTCACCTTCTGTTTAGATTGGTAATAGTGATAAAGTATTTACTGTCTATTTGTACAAAAGCGTATCCTCCCTTTGCCCCCGCACATACTATTCTTCCGTCTCTTCACAGGTATCTCTTGCATTTCTAAGCTCTGTCCTTTCATCATCCACCTCATGGCAGCTTTCAACCTCACCCACTCTGACACATCAACATTCATCCTAACAGGCATCCCTGGTCTGGAAGATGCCCATGTCTGGATTTCCCTCCCATTCGCTACTTGCTACATTGTTGGCCTATTGGGAAATTTCATGGTTCTGTTTGTAGTAGGCAAAGAACAGACCCTGCACCAGCCGATGTACCTGCTGCTCTGCCTGCTGGCGCTCACCGACATCACTATGTCTACCTCCGTCGTGCCAAAGGCCCTGGGTATATTTTGGTTCAATTTGGAAGTCATCACAGTGAGTGGCTGCCTCACCCAGCTTACCTTCCTTGGCACGGTTTCTGCAATGCAATCAGCCATCCTTGTGACAATGGCCTTTGATCGCTACATGGCCATATGTAACCCTCTGAGATACACCACCATCCTAAGCAATGAACGGATAGCTGTGCTAGGGCTGGTCAGTTTCATCAGAGGGATTGTCTATGCACTGCCTCTGCCCCTGATGCTGAGCCGGCTGCCGTTCTGTGCCAACCGCATCATCCCTCACACGTATTGTGAAGGTATCGCTGTGGCAAAGATTTCATGTGGGGACCTCACATTCTACAGGCTCTATGGCTTGGTGATGGGCCTTGTACTTTCTGGATTAGACATGACGCTCATCGCCCTGTCCTACAGTTTGATCATCAAGGCCCTCCTCAGAATCTCCTCCAAGAAAGCCCATCGGAAAGCACTCAACACTTGCACAGCCCACGTCTGTGTGATTCTGATGTCTTATACCCCCTACCTCTTCTCCAACCTGACACACCGGTTTGGTCAAGGCATTGCTCCTTACATTCACATAATCTTGGCCAACATCTATGTCCTTGTCCCCCCCATGCTCAATCCCATCATTTATGGGGTCAAAACCCAAGACCTCCGTGACAAAATGAAGAAAAACATCTGCAGAATGTGATGCCAATGGGCCTCTGGATTTGGAGTGAGTCCCAAAAAGGGGAACAGTTTCCTCCTCATTGCTCCAGATTGCTCTGTCCCAGTTTGACTGAGCTCTGCATTGTGGGGGTTCACAGTATCCGGAAGTAGGAAACCCTTCTACTGGGATCAGCCCATTGTGACATAAATGGTCTGATATCTCACTTCTGCCATTGTTTTGTGGAACCGTGGACAGCTGGAAAAGGAGAGGAGTGTTTAGCCTGTGGTTCCCTGCCCTCAGCCTGAAGGCAAACATATTGCTCTGTTTAACAGTGAAATTATTTCACACATGGATGCCACAGGGGACTAAGGCTTTTTTAAGGTTGGTCATTTTCCCTTTCAAGGCTGTCACTACATTGATGCAACTTTGGAGCTAACAGAGTTTTCTCAGATGAAACTGGTAAAAGAAAACTGTAGAGCAAGAGGCTAGTGGAACTCTGGGAACGTCTTTTTCTCAGGGGATATACAAGACAACTCAAAATCTGTTCTGAACCATTTGCACTAAGGGAAGAAACATTTGCAACGGTACTGCTGATCTGTTTGTACAGTAGCAGAAGAACCCTACTTCTGACAAACACAGCAAGGAAGAAATGTTGCCTTTTGGAGACAACAAACTTACTCAGAACCAATTTGATACACTCAGTAATGTCAGTGAACACATTTTAAACAAAATAGCACAATCATATTATTGTTCTATCTACATTTCAGGCTTCATTTTGATTTCTTTATGGTGTGAATCACCATTTGGTTCGCCTCTTCTGCCAAGCATCAGTCATGTTACGTGTACCAGCCATGGGGAATTTTTCATTTTCTTGCTAGCATGGATAAGATCCTGCTAGGACTTGTCCCATTTAATTAAAAATAAATCTACACTAGGTAAGCTCTCATTGGGTGCCTGATCTACATATCAATGTGTTATTTTTAAAATGTTTGTTTCACTCACTAGGCCAGTGGTATCCAACCTTTTTACACCCAAGATCACTTTTTAAATGTCAGGGCAAGCCAAAATCTACCCCATCCCTTCCCCAAGACCCCACCTCTTTCCTGAGGCCCCGCCCTCTCCGTTCCCCTCCTTTCCATCAGTTCCTGTCCCCAGCCCTTACTCACTCTCACTGCATTGAGGTAGGAGGTGTGGGCTCTGGGGTGGGAATGAGCAATTTGGGTGTGGGAAGGGTGAGAGGTGCAAGCTCTGGGAGGGAATTTGGGTGCAGGAGGAGGCGGAGAAGGGGATGCTGGTTCATGGTGGTGGGTCCAGGCTGGAGAGTGTTGGGGTGAGGTGAAAGGTTGGGGTGCTGAGCAAGGTGCAGGATTGTGGATGTGGGGGTTCTGGAGTTTGGGATGGAGCATGTGAGGGGCTCAGGACAGGGAGGTTGGGAGTATGATGGGCTCAGGGCGCAGGTTTGCAGTATCTGGATGGTGCAGGTGTGTTGTGGCAGATGACTTGTGGATGTGGGGGTGCAGGAGTTTGGAGATGTGAGGGGCTCAGGACATGGGGTTCAGGTGTATGATGGATGCAGGAGTGTTATGATGGTACAGTCAGATGTGGGCTTGGCTCCAGCTGGGGGCTATTTGGCCAGGCTTCATTTTTAAATAAAGTATGTCCATTATAAAATGTTTCAGAATTGTCTTTATTAATGGGAGGGGTGGGGAACTTGTTTTGGGTCAGGAGCCACTGACCCACAGAAAAATCAGTTAGGACCACACAAGTGAGATGCAAAAAAACCCCCAACCCCTCCAACCTCCCCCCAGGCCTCACTGATGCGATCCCATCTGAGACACCTCTCTCTCCGGGCACTCCAGCCCCATGTGGGGGGAGGGTAGGTAGGACTGAAGTTCAGGGTCTCATGTCAGTTTAACTCCTCTGGGGTTCCAGGGTTAGTGGATTTTGTGGGCCCCTCTACAATCTGGATTGGGGCCGAAGAGGAGGGATCCAGTGTGCGGAACAGGGCTGCTAGTGAGTGGGATAGGGACGGGGGTCAGAATCTATGTGGAAAATAGGGTACAGGAGCAAGCTGGTGGTAAATGTCTGACCAGGAGGGAGGGGCCAGGAACAGGGTGCTGGTGAGTGTCTGGCCTGGGGCAGGGCCTGGAGTCTGGTGGGTGTAGGGGTGGGGTGCTGGATGGGGTCTGGCCAGGGGGCAGGACTGGGGTGCTTGTTCGGGGTCTGTCCAGGTTCTGGTCAGGGGGTAGGGTGCTAGTGTGGGTACAGGCATGGTCAGTGTGCTTGTGGGGGTGGGGCAAGGGCAGGGTGCTAGTGGGGTTAGGGAGGGAGTGGGTGGGGGGCATGGGCAGCATGCTGGTGAGGGCCAGGGCCAGGGCAGGGTGCTCATGGGGATCTGGGCAGAGGGAAGGGGGCAAGGTGCTGTTGTGAGGGTCTTGCCGGGGGAAAAGGACAGGAACAGCTCAGTTGGTACCTGGGGATCCTGCATCACGTGCTGCTCCTCCCCTCCCCCAAAGAGTGAGCATGCTTCCTGAGAAGATGCATCTGGTGTGCAGCCAGGGACTTCCTTCCCTGTGCTGCTTTCCTGTGCGGGGGATGGTATCCAGCAGCCAGGGACTTCCCTTCTCTCCCTGCCTCCTTCCCTTTCCTCCCACCACTGGCCCAGGTAGGCAGGCAGCAGGGGGAAGGAAGTCCCTGGTTATGCACCAGACTCAGCATTTCAGGAAGCGTAATGGCTTTTTGAGGGAGGGGGGGGCAGCCTGTGCTTCCTGAGATGCTGGGTCTGTTGCACAGCTGTGCAGGTAGTGTAAGCCACTGGTCATGACCCCAAAATTGACCACTCAGTCGTGATTGACAGGTTAGTTACCACAGCACAAAACTGATCTACCTTTGGGTTAGGGCGTAAGGGGCTGTAGGATGTTGGGGCAGTAGAAATCTCACAGTTTTACAAGCCTGGGTGGAGGCAAAGAAGCAGCAGACAGAACCCCAGGGACCAGATGTCACGTTACTGGATTCTGGTCATGACCCCAAAATTGACCACTCAGTCGTGATTGACAGGTTAGTTACCACAGCACAAAACTGATCTACCTTTGGGTTAGGGCGTAAGGGGCTGTAGGATGTTGGGGCAGTAGAAATCTCACAGTTTTACAAGCCTGGGTGGAGGCAAAGAAGCAGCAGACAGAACCCCAGGGACCAGATGTCACGTTACTGGATTTTGAGGGGAGCAGACAGATCACTGATGCACCCATAGGTGGGGGTGTTGGCCCCCCAAACAGTATAAAAGGAGGCCATGTGGGGTGTTGAATAGAAGCTCACTGTCTGATAATCCTGTCTACGCTAGTCATGTGAGTGTATAATGTCTGTGTGTGTAGTTAGGAATCTGTAATCTGTGTAGATACTGAATATTTCTCTGCATGTGGTTGAGCATTGGGCAGGGCCTGGCCTATGGACATGCTAATCAGTGAGGCCCTGTGGGACAATGACACTCAATGGGCCAAGGACACACCTAAAGAATGAGGGTGACTCATACCTAAGGGCTACCAGCAGGGGACACAGGAATAAGCCGTGGGCCAGGTGACCTGCTGTAGCCAAGAAGAGACCAGGAAGGAGGGATAAAGAGGCCATGTGGTGGACTCCATCTTGGTCTTCAGCTCAGCACTTCATCCCAGAGGCAGCAGTGCAGGGATCGAAGAGCCAGAAAGACCTGTAGACCCATCCTGATCCTAGCATGTGCAACAAGGACTTTTAAACCAGCAGCTGTAACATCTCTGCTAGAGCCTGCATCAAGAACTGGGAGATTTGGTGCATGTAACATACTATTCCTTTAATAACCTTACTCTCATGCTTTTCTTTATTGTAATAATAAACCTTTAGTTGTTAGATGCTAAAGGATTGGCCCAGCATGATTTGTGGGTAAGGTCCGGAGGGTAAATTGACCAGGGATCTGTGGCTGGTTTCTTGGAACCGGACAGAACTTGTTCGGGGTAGGTGGGATTGGGTGCTAGGACCCCCCACCTGTGTATAGGCCCAGGGCCATCTGGGGCACGGATATTGCTGGGGTGTCGGAGGGGTTTTGCTCGTGAGGCTTCAGGCAGGCAGCTGAAGTGCTCTGTGGGACTGGTTTGTGGCCTGTGTGGAGGAGTCACCAGTCGGGGCTGTAAGGAGCCCCGAATTTGAGCAATTTGCCCTGAGCGGACGCCCTCAGCTGTGCCCGGTCCGTCACACCAGAGACGCAACACAGAGGGCAAAGCTGGGCCGAAGGCAGAGCGGCAGGGCTGAGGCAGAGCTGGTGCAGGACCTGAAGGGCTGGACCAATGGGGAGCCAGGGCTGAGCGACAGCAGGGAGCTGTGGGGCCAGAGACAGGACAATGGGTGCTGGCCCTACGGGAAGTAACATGGCAGCTGAGCACAATGAGCAGCCGGGGAAAGCAAGGTGGTGCCCTGGGCAGAGGGCCCAGCACAGGGACATGACAAAGGGACACTAGCAAATGCCTTTGCCACCAGAATCCTGGGAGCAGAAAGTCCTTTTCATACCCCTCAGCTTCCATCCTTCCAGCACTACATCATTCAGCCTCCACAGGGCAGCAGTGAGTTTCTGGAGGCCAATGGACTTTGTACAACTGCATGGGCCGCATGCAGCTGTGAGCTGCTACCATCCACTGAACAGATTTGTGGTCCTGTATCGCGTGGCAGCCTCCCCACACC